GCTGAGCCGGCAGCAGCGGTGCCGCCCAGACGACGAGCGGGACCCAGCGAGCGGCTGAGCGAAGGTCAGTTTGATCACAGCACTTCCGAGTCCGCCAGGCCACAGGGCTCGCGTGAGCCGCGGGCTGGCAGCGTGGGAGACTGCGATGCATTCGATGCTGACTCTGCGCCAGGGCTCGCTGGAGGAGGGCGAGAGGTGCTGTCCGCTCACCGATGGCAGCCTCTGCGCAGTCCTTGTGCAGCAATGAGCCTTTAAAACCCACACGCTGTTCAGCAAGGATGGGGCAAGCCCAGGGTGTAACAGGACCCAAAGGGAGGCCGTGTTACTGCTGCTGCGTGCATCGACGCGCCCCTGCCTCAGAGCCCTTCAGAAGGACAAATCATGGAGCCTTCCCCTCCCAGCTGAATGACTTGGCCTCTCTCAGAGAGCATGGCAGGACTAGGAAATCCTGCTCCAAAGCCACAGCAGGGTGACCCAGGGCGCTTTAGACGTGCAGCCCTTTGGGCAGCTGGGCCAGGAGGGAGCCCGGAGCCCCGTGTGTGGCTGCCAGTGGGCAGGCCGCAGGACCAGCACAGTGGGCCGCTGCACTGCCACAGTGCACAGGACACGGCGCAACCTGGCCCGCTTTTCCAAGGACCCTTTCAGGACAGGGCAGACTCTTGACCAAGTGGGGTTTGGCGTTTTTCAGCGTTGCTGTGCCTAGCCACCTGACACTGGTCCTAGCTCAAGCAGGAGGATGGGTTAGTGCCTGTTCCTGCCCAGAGGTAGGGTTACCCCTGGTGGGTTGCAGAGCTGGTGCAGCGACTTCAGTAGCCTTCAGGGAATATAGCATGTCCAGGTGTTTATCGGCTCCATTGGGCAAGGGAGGGTTTTTTTCCAGTAGCTCAAGGACTGCTGAGGGCACAGGCTCTTCCTCAGCCTCAGGCACAGGCCTTGTACCCTTCAGGAGCCAAGGGTTTCCCCCACATCTCCATGGGCGGAGCCCTGGTGCCTGCTCTAGTCGAGGCACATATTGCTGTCCTGACTGTAAGCCTATTCTCAGACCACAATGCATTTTATTTACATTGTATACCTCAATAGACGATGCTTAAATAATCTATAAAGGATCAGGCAATGTCTCCAAGAGAATAAATTACCAGCTGCCACTTGGCCAGAGCCGTGACTCACGGAAGCAGCTCTTTCAAACACCAGGTAGCAGATACAGCCTCTGCAGGGAAAGGCCTTCGCGAGCGTCCCGAGGCGCCAGTTCGCAGCTCCTCACACAGCAGCAGTGTCCCAGCACCGTGCAGCAGCCCGCTAGGGCTGGCGCTGCTCTGCACGCCAAGTCCAGGAAGACAAGAGCAGTCCGCAGGGCTGTGCTCTGTTTCTACGTTGCCAGACAGCCCATACAGCTAAAATACAGCAGGTAAAAAATAGGAAAAAGTCTAGAGAGCGTGGACTGCCCAGCCCACAGCAGCGATTCCCTTTTGGCGGAAGGTCTCAGTGGTGGCAGCAGCTGTACAAGTAGGTACCACTCTTCTGGCCCAGGTCAACGCCCTTCTCCTCTGAAAGAGAGCAGGGCGGTAAGGCAGGGTGCTGACACGTATCCCACCACGATGCCAAGTGGAAGCCAAAAGTTTCCAGCCCCCTGTCAGCCCCAGTTCCTGGCCAGGCCTGGCCTCCGGAAAGCCAGAAGATCCCTCTGGGAAAAATCTCAGGCACAAGCAGGTTTAATACAACCTACAGTGAAACTGCAGGTCTCATCACTATGGGACATTCCAGGGCTGAAGGTGGAGCTGAGCTGAGCCTAAGCAGACAGGTGAGGACAGGCCCAGGGTGAAGTGCTGGAAGCAGGTAATGCAGCCAGGGAGGGGTCTTTCTGGCTGTTTCCCAAAGACCTCTCCATTCAGCACGGACGGGCTGTGCAGAGCCTGTCCTGTGCAGCGAGCTGACACAGAGACACCGCAGACAGGGAACTTCCTCTAAAGCTCTGCTGGATAAACCCCAGCTCAGAGCTGCAGGAGCTTCAGGGAGGGCGTGGGTGAGACTAGTAGGAACCTGTAACCATGCTTCTGCTCTGAATGCCCCACAGAGCAGTGCAAGGGCCTGGGGCCTCCTGCCCCTCGAGCACCAGCAGAGCCAGGGCAGGAAAGGACGCTACGAGACCCCATGGTGCTCTTCATCTATGCCCTCCTCAGGGAAGCTTGGAGGAACACATGCCCTAGAGCCAGCACCGGGAGAGGGTGCTCCAAGGGGAGTGCCCCGTCCTGCTGCGCTCACCTGTCATCACCTGGAAGGCAGTGAAGTGCACAAAGTCCTCGGCCACCTTCTGGAACAGCTCATCTGTGACAGGAGAGAGCGCATTGGTGTCTTCCTGCATGCTGAGGCCAGGCGGCTGCCAGGACCTCGAGGCAGGAGCTGGCCGAGGGCAGGGACCAGGCGACGTTCTGCCCGGGCAGGGCAGCTGCCTCCTCCCCAGGCAAGGGCAGAAGTCCCCTCGCCTCTGAGCTCACGGCATCTCCACTGGCCCCCGAGAGCAGCTCATTGACGTGCCCTGTCCCCTTGGCAGCTAGTGGGGCCACCCGCCTGCATCGGGCGTAGCCAGCCCCGGAGCTGCCCTCCGGCCTTGCTCAGGCGAGGGCAGAGCACAGCCCTGCAGACAGGAGGATACTCACCAACGCTCTGGCCCGTCTTACTGGAGGTTTCAAACAGCTCTGCCTTGATCTCTGAAACAACCGTCACAGGTTAGTGCCCGCAGATGGAGGATGTGGTCCCACGACTTGAACTCCTTCCCCTGCAGCAGCAGTGGTGACTGCTGTCTCAGAGATGGCAAGATGGCAGGAGCCAACTTCAGGGGTTGGCTCAACATGCTGCTCCACCTCCCACCCGCCAGCTGGCCTGACACCACTCCTCAGGGCTCTCTCCCACTGGTCTGTGCCTGCACCATCAGGACACGCCATGCTTGGGGAGGTTCTTGGAAAACGTGGAGGCTCACTATGCAGGGAACCTAGGCCAGGCCGTGCCACAAGCTGCTCCTGCCATTCACTTAGAGGCACAGAGCTGCTGGACCCTGCGCTGGGCAGGGGTGGCAGCCCCTCGCGCCTCACAAGCCCCCACAGACACCACAGCTACATCTTCAGCTCACCCCTAGCCCCGTCTGGCCCTGAGGAAATACAGAAAAGTCACACACTGGCCTGTCAGCGAGCTTCATGGCTCCACTGGAGCAGTGCAGCACCGTGGTGACTCAAGAGCCCTGCAGCAGGGAGCGAGCAGCAGCTGCCCCTGCCCAGCCACGCAGCAGAGACGTACCGTCCGCGTAGTCCTGCACGTCGTGGAAGTCAACTCCTCGCTTCCTCCTGTCCTCTTCCAGCAGGTCACTCTTGGTGCCACACAGATAGATCCGGCAGTTCTGCGGCAGGTAGAGAAGGGCCCGGTCGGACATGCCTGTGGGCTCAGGCCTTGCCACCAACTTTTCCTGCCCTCCTGGAAGCTGCCAGGCAGCCATACACCTGCAGCCCCGCAGCTGCGGTGAGCAGCAGCAGACACTTTGCAAGCCCTGGTCCTCCCACAATGCTCCTGAGGCCGAGGATGAGTGCAGCAAGACTCACGGCAGCCCAGCGAGCTGCCATATGAGCGGGGGCAAGACGTCCTGTCCGCATATGGAACAGTTTCATGCAGGAAGGTGAAGCCCCAATTCCTGCCTGTCCTCAGCACATCCAGAGGCTCTAGCCCAGCCCAGCAGCATGAGCCCTTCTCCGCAATTTACCTCCTCGAAGTTCTGCAGCTCGTTCACCCAGAATTTGGCTCGCTGGAAACTGCTGCTGTCAGTGAGATCTGGGAGAGGAAAGTCAGGCTCTGCCTTGCCCCAAGACCCTCCGCGACATCCCACTCTCCATCCCCCGCAGAGCAGAGCCTGAGCCACCA